GGTGAGCGCCTAGCGCCTCGGGCGTTTTTGGACCTTGGCGCCTAGCGCTTTTTAAATCATTGGTTTGGAAGGATTTGGTGAAAATTAACTCGAGTTACATTCGATCACTAATTCACTCTGAACAAGCATCTTGGCTCAGACCTAGTTTACTTTTTTAATGTTGCACATTTTGTAATGCAATATTAATTCTTTTTAATTTTATCATTTATTTTCAGTTTAATTATCTCTGTCTCTCTTTTTTCTTTTTGTTTTCTAATATATAAATCCTAGACCATGAATTGTTGTTGTGCATATAATATAGGATAGGAACTGTTGCATTTTTTAAAAAACCTAAGATTAATATGAATAGATAGCCTAATGCTCGAGACTCTAGGAAATTGGGAATAAAGAGTCAATGTACCAAAGTGTTGTGCTACAGAGTAATTATTTTTGATGACTTGAATGTTGATAACCTAGGTTGCAAAGGAACAACATTATTATTATGTGTAGCTCACCCTTTAATGGGTGGCCTAGTGATAATGGCTCTCATCATGTGGGCATTTGGGGCCAAGTGAGAGTTAATATTCACATCCTTGCCGCTGAAAGCTGTTTTTTTTCCTCTAAAAATTAAGTTTAATATGCACAGATAGATTAATGCTTGAGACTCTAGGTAATGGGGAATAAAGAGTCGATATACCATAGTATTATGCTACAAACAGAGTAATAATTTTCTGTGACTTGAACCCTGAGAACCTAGGTTGCACAGGAACAACATTATCATTATGCACAGCTCCCCTTTAATGGGTGGCCCAGTGAACATGGCTCTCATCATGTGGGGCCAAGTGAGAGTTAATATACACATCCTTGCTCCTGCAAGCAGAGAGGCTATTTTCATAATTGGAACCGTGGTTACCCAAATCGAGACAATTAGAAGTTCAATTTTTTTAATGTGTTCTAATCATGTCTATAGCCGTAAGGTCAGGTCAATAGATATTGTTGAGTGGTGTGTGGAGACATTAGAGGAGTATGACTATTAGGAATTCCCCACTTCCCTTTCAAAAAGAAGGATATGTCCTTTGAAATGACTAGAAACTGTTTTCGATAAGTTAAATTACAGGGGATAGAATTTATGTAGCCGGTCCCAAGTAATAGGTTTGTTGTTATCATTTTATGTCCACATACTGCAATTACTAGGCTCTCACAGATGTTTGCATTTCCAATTTAGGTGTACATGCATGCATATCTGCACACGGTTTGATGATTTGACCATTACATGTTCCGACTGCCTAAAATGCAGGTGACTTTTAAGTGTCAGGCTAGTCTGGCTGTAAAATTGTTGCTCTCTCTATGCTATTGTTTACAACTACTTTTCCTCGCAAGACTATGATTCTTTTACTCGTTCCTGCAACAAATTATCACTGTTGTCTAATATTAAAATGCTTGCTGGTAATGCAGATAGTGGAGAAGAATAAAGATAATGAATCTGATTGGCGTTGTGATGCCTTAATAGACGTACTCAAGGAAGCACATTCTCTTTTCACGATGTTCAATGGTTCTTTGCAAGCTTTACTTGATAAACAACCCAGTGGTGAACTTGCACGCAGCCGTTTGTATACATTTATCAATGACTATCTTTCAGGTCATTAATTGCTGATGTATATGTTTACTATTATTCATCTGTTCTTCTGGTAGTACCATCTAAAAGATTTTTATGTTGATTCTGATCTCCCTTTCGTGTGTTCTTGTTATTGTTCCTGCTCTATAATCATGACTAAGTTTTGAATTTTTTTATCTTTCTTAAAACAGATTTTTATGTTGGCAAAAAGATTCAAGTGCCATCTTTTCGTGACTGTCTCAAGGAAAGAAGAACTGTTCAAATGCTGACTGTCTCTCGTGAAGTGGCGATCGAAGTTCAGGTATGATATGATTTTATAAGATCATGAAAAAAAGGAAATGATACTAGGTACTTTGTGATCATTGGTTCTCAACTTGAATAATAAGGATAGTTGATGACTAATAACATGGGAATGTGCTTTAGATACTGGATGATATTGAATATTGATCCACTGTTGGCCAAGTATGGTAATGCATGCTATTGAGAAATTATCTAAAATCCATTTCATATATTTGTACAATTTTAATATGATCAGTATCAAGGTCTAAAATACTGCATGTATTGATTACTACGAGTTGGCCTACTAGTGACGGAACGTGAATCAGAGGATTTTACTCAATTTGGTCCAGTGTAGGTTATGTCATCCAATAAGCTTGCCATACCAGCTTTATCAAACGGTATGCCATGCCAAACTATGGTGGATGGTGAGCTTATCATCAAATACCTACTAGGTTTTTATATAATTTTGTCAACCATCACAACCATCCCTTTTTTTTATTTTTATATCTTCCTCTCTTTCTTTCGCACGTTCATGACAACCTGAGAGTTTTTCCTTTTTTTCATTTGAGAATAGAGGAAGGGAAAAAAGAGGAAGACAAATATAATAATCAACAAAAGAGAGTGAAAAAGGACTGATAAATACCATAGGGTATACTAACTCTAACTCAAATAACTTGTACGAATGAAGGCCTCACACCTGTCTTGTTATATGTTGTGTGAAAACAATGTTCACAGTAAATTTTGCAATCTTCTATTACAATATCTTTTTCCCAGTTTATAAATCCCAAGTATAACAAACATTTTATATAAATAAGGAAAATACAATAACATCCCATAAGTAAAGATATATTTCCTATCTCGACAAATTCTTTTATAAAGTATTTTGATTCATAGACTTCTTTCTGTAGGATCTTCAATATTAATGGAACTACCTTTTAGAATATAATTTTGAATCAACCCTTGAAATCTTAATTGGAGCTCAATGTGTATCTCCTTTCATTTCTCTTTTTTGGCTTCCCTTTTTCTTCTTTTTGACAATTTAAGAAACTAAACTAAAAATATTGGAGAAGGTTGCCATGTGTAAATTTATGACATTTGCAAAATACCTTAAAGCAATAAAACAGTCAATGTACTATGTAAGAATATGAGGTTGGATTGGTACTACCAGTTGGTATTTTTGGTATAGTCCAATATTTTAATCCTTGACACTAAATAATCTATGCATAAATCTCTATCCCTAGCCTAGCACTTCATAATAATTAAGTTTAAGATTGCCAAAAGGGCATAAATTGTACTAGGTTAATTTGCTTTCAATTTTAAATTTGAAGTTGAATTTCTTATTTAACATCAAGGAATATTGTTTTACGCCCTCTGTCACATTAGTCACTTTTGCTGCAAAGTGTTAAGCTGTAGGCACTCTGAGTTCAATTCAAGAAGCAACTTGAAATTTTTGATTGATTGGTTTTAGATGAAACCATTCTTTCTTTTTAAAGGATGTTGTAAACACTGTAACAAAAACAACAACCACAAAGGCATAAAGTCTCAAAAAGGATGTAAACACTGTTTAATATAAAGTTTGATGGTATAGGAATCTATCCTAGAAATTTCAGTGGCATCACAAACATATATCCAAGATGGCCTTCTTGATCGAACAATTATCTCATCCTAGGTATGCTTTCAACTTTGTTTGATAGTTATCTGTGCCGGTCTTTTTCATTTGGATTTAATCTGTGGTCTTGATAGTTAATGACCATTATTCACTCAAAATGTATTTTGGTTATTATTCCTTAGCAGGGTTTCTAGATGGACTGATGCTGCAAGATGTGTTTAGATCAACTGAAGACTGAAGTAGAGGCTTAAATGTTTGGAACTGTGTAACAAGCAACAACTTTACAAGTAACTAAAAAGGAAAAAAAATACAATTATCATAAGCTGAAAGTTACCATCTATTAAATATTTCCATATACCAGCATAAATTTCATTCTAGCATCTGCAATTACTATCACTTATTCTATTCTACTGAAAATATAGATGGCTATATTTTGTGGAATTGGCATTTATGGATCAATTTACAGCACTCAAAATCCTGCGTGTCTTGCATCCTCAATGTTCCATTTGATTGTTTTCTTTATTAAGTGTAGTTTTTTTCTGAAGTAAATTATCATGTTTTCAAGCCAGTGGATAATCACGAGTGAAATCTATACATGGGCCCATATATACATAGTAACAGAACATTTTTCTTAACAGTGGATTGTGAAAATTTTAAAAATTTCGTCTTCTGTATTAATATAGATGACTAGGTACTTGTATTTGCCGCTGTGACCATAGCAGCTAAGTCTTTTGCACTTGACATTTTCATGACATCTAATTTTTTTTAAAAAATTATTGTTTTTATTTAATAAGCTTTTAGAAAATGATTTGATCTATTATTACATTGCTTCCAATTAATATCTCAACACCATGTAGACTCATTAATTTACATGCATTCTGCAGTCACTTGCCACAGTTATAGGAACTTCAAGTTTAGGAAGCATAGCGTGCAAGTCACTTATATTGTTTCAAGATCTGCTGGTGGCCACAACACTTTCTCCTGTATGGCTTAGTTTCCTGCATTGGAACAGTTAATTTATATTTTTTAGTATTTGTTTTCATAATTTACCTGTATGATTTTCTTGCTAGGGTGACACAGCAAACATGTTTACTTATGCTGTTCTAAGGTTAACTCCTCATGCTTTATCCTCCAACACAAGTTCTTGGACCTATTTAAGGAGGGGAGTTTCTGGTTCAAGTATTACTGCAAGCTCTGGTTTGCTAAATTCTAGATCTTCACCAGAAGAGTATCATCATGGATCTCATGATTCTTCTATGGGAGAACAAAGTAACAGATATCACATGCCAAGGCCTCTACAACGTGACAATTGGTCTAAAGGAAAGGATGGTTTTCTTGTCTGTGATATTCAGCTTAATGTTGGTGGTTTAGTTTATCTAGCACCAGTAGTTTGGCTTCAGCAGAGTGAAGAGCACATGTATCTTTGTATCTACCAGCATCGAAATCTCACGATTATAGTCCTAATTCCCGTATGTTCGCAGACAGATGGAGAGCAGGGGATAGCTCTGGTCAAAAAACAGCTTCTTGAAAATGTTAGTTCACTTTGTCTAATAGGCGCTTTTTTATTTTTCATCCTGGTTACCTATCCTTTTGCCTTCTATATCTTGATGCATCTCTTATATTAAAAAGCAAAGGAAGAATATTCAAGAATGCATTTTGAGGTATAAAGTAAGAAGAATAAAGAATGTGTTTTCTTTAAAAGAAAAGGTAGACTGTTCAATAAAATTAAAAAAAAGGGATAAAAAGTACTTGTTTTTTAAAGAACTCGAAGGTTTATCTTAGTTGGTAACTTATTCTGCTTTATTTTTTTAGCTTGATTTTCTCGAAGTGTAGGTTCCCAATTATTTAAGTGTTGTTACTGCTGACATGTAACTTTTGTATGAAAGTAAGTGGCCACTCTTGCATGGACAAATGATCTTTCTTGCAATTGAAATTCTAAGTTGAACATGCATGCTCTTATCATATGGTTTTTATTGACTTGGAGAAAGGTTATGATAGGGTTCCTAAAGATTTATTATGGTGGGTTTTAGAAAGGAAAGGTGTATCCACTATTTATATTGTTGTCATTAAAGATATGTATGATAATATAGTTACTAGTGCTAGAACTATAGGGAGTGTGTCTGGTGACTTTGTTATTAGCATAAGATTACATCAACGATCCACATTAAGTTTCTATCTTTTTACATTGATAATAGATGAGTTTACTTGTCATTTACATAACAAACACACCTAGTGTAATTTGTTGATGATATTGTCTTAGTTAATGAGAGTCTAAGTAGAATTAATTATAAACTATAGCTATGGAGGCAATCCTTAAAAACTAAAGGTTTTAGATTAAGTAGGACTAAAATTGAATATATGAGATGTAATCTTAGTAATTTTAAGAATAGATAGATGAATATATTTAAGTTGGATGGACAAGAAGTTCTTTTAAGTGAAAGCTTTATGTATCTTGGATCAATTATTCAACAAGATAGATAGGATGAATATATTATTTATAGAGTAAAAACAAGATGGTTAAAATGGGGAGGGGCGTTAGGAATCTTGTATGATAGTCAGATTTGAGATTATCATAAAAATTTTATAAGACAATTGTGAGACAAACAATGCTTTATAGATCTGAGTATTAGATAGTTAAGAAATAACATATACAAAAAGTTTGAGTTGTTGATATGAAAATGTTGAGATGGATGTGTGGAGTTATTAGGATAGATATGAAAAGAAATACTCTTGTTAATGAACAAATAGGTATCGATTGAGGATATGATGAAAGAAATCCGTTTAAGATGGTATGAGCATGTGCTTATGAGACCTTTAGATGTGATAGTCAAAAGAGGTGAAATAATTAATATTAGTGGTACGAGGAGAGATAGTGGAAGACCTAAAAAAATTTAATAGAAACTATAAATAAAATTTTAAGTATTCTAAGCTTAACTAAACATATGGCTTTTTATAGATCTCAATGACAACAAAAGATCTATGTAGTCGGCCCTAATTAGTGGGGACTTATGGCTTTGTTACTGTTGTTGTTGTATCCAATACTAGTCAGAACTAGTATTATTTTGGGCTGTCTATATAGTCCAAGTGCCATTGATTTTATTCTTCTGATACTTAATTCTCTTATCAAATGAAATTTATCTGTTTCCTTTGGCACAAAAATATATCCTTATTGTTTTGAGCTTTCCTGTGATATCAAGACTGTTACATACAGTAGAAACTTGCTGCATAAGATTCTTTATTTTTCACCTACATTTGTGCTGATTGTTCATTTTACCTCAAAATAAAATTTGTTAGTTATATAGTCCACTGTATCTCTTGCTATATACTGCCATACACAATTATCTTCTCTGGAATTTGGATCTACTTGTGTAATAAGTACTCTAGGCTGCTCATGTTAGGCGTGGCACTTAATTTCTCTCCAGTCTGTAATTATAAGGATTTATTCATATTTCATGATGGGAAACTTCATGTGTTTTTGGGTAGACTGCTAAAAATATATCCTAACTTCACTGCTACACATCTAGTTCAAAACCATGTTTATGTATAATTGTATACTGCTTGATTCAAAACTGTCATGACTTGTCTATGAGATTTGGGTGTGCTAAATCATGAGATGCATCTTGTGGTGGTTCATTATGGTGAAAATATTTCATCTACTCATCTATATATACAAAAAATTGGTTTCCCCGATGATGTATTTGGAAACTATCCTTAAAATACTTTTCGTCCAAAGAATCTTTTTCAAGATACCAATTCGACTAATGAACTTTTATATGTTCCACAATCATTTTTCAATGGTTTCTTCTAATGTTAATTGTTGTTAAGCCTTTTGATGCGTGCTGTGTAGATGAAGTACAAATTAGATTTACTGGTGAGTCAATGATAAAACTGAATATAGAATTGTGAAAGGGTAGTTATACTAAAGAATTGCATTATTGGTATTGGATCCTAATTGATCACCACTCAACTGGCTTAGATTGTTGTAATGCTGGCAAGTACTGACTAGCGGCAGTTCTTTCTTCTGCTCCTCTGGCTCCTTTGCCAGTGTATAACTCGCCTCCCTCATGTCTTCTTCTGTTTCTCTGTTGATGCCACCCCAGGGTTCTTAATGAATAGAGAGTTATGATGAGAAGTAGTTGATTGGGGGTTTCAGGGTTTTTTCTGCTTTATCAATGACCCTGTCTGGCTACCAAATGAGTCAGGTGGTACATTGTGCAGAATGCTTAATTTAGGTGGATATTGGGTTTAAACTAGGCTGAACCATGGTATAACCAAGGAATGCAATTTCACCCAGTTAGGTTCGTGCCAACAGTCTTTACCAGTCCAAGCTCGAACCGAGATGCTATTTCAGGTGGTTCGGTCCCCCTTCTTTTTAATGTGAGGTCTGGATTGTTTTTTTCTTTTTAAACGACTAAACTGAACTAGTTTTGATTAAAAAGGACTAGACTGGCCTATATGTTGTGTGCTCTCTTCCCCCTCTCAGAGCTATTGTGCAGCCATAGCCTGCCCCATGCAGCCCACCCCCTGTCGCCTGCCTCCTGCCCTCCACCACGACGTTATCTACAGTATTTATATTTATCCTTCTCTTTTTCTCCCTTCTTCCTCCTCCATCTCCCTTTGCCTTCCTCATCCTTCCTTCTTCTCCTTTTTTCCTTCCTCCTCCCCTCCCCCAGCAGAATATTACCTTGGTACATGCCATGTTGGTACATCGGCATGAGCTGGACTGATTCAGGTCTGGCCATTGACCGGTAAGGGAACCCGGTACAGAATCACAAACCTTGTGTATAACAACTGTTAGGTCATGTATGCCTCAGGATGAGGTAACCACCTGCTTGCTATATGGTGGTCCTTCCTGTCATTCTGACCCCTCTCCTGAGACTATGCTCATACTGGGCAACATACTGCTGTAAGATTTTCCTTGGCTACTCCTGATAAATTTATAAAGTTCCGCTAAAATAAATCTGAAAAGATTTCTGGTTTAGTGGCATATGTGGATTTTGATAATTTTGAAAGAACTGCGATATGCAATATACAATATGATTTTAGTTGTTTTAAGTGCATTTCTTTGAAGATGAAAGGAGAACATGAAGAAGAGATACTCCCTATGTTTTTGTCAAACTATCTCATAACCAAGATAAACCTTAGCAAGAGAAACTAAGTAATGAAACGGTCTTTTGCATACGTTAAGGATGCTGTTACTGAGGGTAGATATGGTAAATATTGGAGACTGAGTTAGAGATGGTGTGATAAGGGGATCGTTAGGGATGGTAAATGTTGCAGTAGAGCTAGATAAAATATTTGAGATGGTTTGAACAGGTTGAGCACAGGTTGCCTTGAGGACCCATCTTCATGTTGGACCATGAAAGTTCTAATAAGGAAAGCTTGGAGTATGCTAGTTACTATCAGTGATTTCAATAGGCGCTCGGGCGCTCGCCTAGGCGCTCGGACGAGGCGAGGCGAGGCCCGAGCGCCTCGCTTCATGTCCAAGCGCCTCGCTTCAACGAGGCGCCGCCTAGGTGCTCGCTTGAGCCCAGGCGCCGGGCGCTTCGGGCGAGCGCCTGGGTTAAACCAGGCGATCGAACCAGTGTTTTACGTCTGGTTCAGTCTCCGATGCTTTAGTTGGTTCAATCGAACCAACTAAATCACTGATAGGCTCCCTCTCACGATTTCCCCGACTTCCCCAACCCTAACACTTGCGATTTTGCCGTTGAGATTTCTTCTCCGTTGTCGTTGCTCTCTGCTGCCACTGCCGCTGCCATTGTCACTACTCGCCGCTACCACAATCGTCGCTCATCACTGTTGTCGTCGCTCGTCTCTCGTCGCTCGCAGCTCCCGCTCCCACTCCCGCTATCGCTCGCCGCTACCGCTGTCGTTGCCTTAGCAGCCTCGGTCTTCTCACACTCTTCTCACTATACTGTTAACAGTATATTAACAGTATACTGCTAACTGTATACTAATAATAGTATTTTTATTTATTAGATTAATAATATATTATTTTAATTTTAATACTATTAATTTTTATTTATTTAAAATTATTGTTAGGTTTCAGAATAAATGGCAAGTGTACAGAGTAACTCAATAGATTTGATGTAAAATTTTATTGTTTTGATTTTTGAGACTTTTTATTAATATGACATTGTGATTTTGTACTCGATTTTCTTAATTTAATAGCATATTTTTTATTTAAATAATTATATTAATTATATTATATATTTTTATATTTTAGCGTCTCGCTTCGCTCGGGCGAGCGCCTAGGCGAGAGCCTAGCGCCTCGAGCGTTTTTGGACCTTGGCGCCTTTTGACGCCTAGCGCTTTTTAAATCACTGGTTACTATACAGATATTCTTGTATTGTTAGATTTATCTTTCAATTGGAACAGTTGCAGCTTGGCATCCTTATGAATGCCAAACAATAATCACTAAAGTCGTAATCTATAATTTTTCTTTTTTCTTCCTTGCTGGTGTTATATTCTTTATTGTTTGCAATTGGAGGTCAACGGTTTCGGTAGAGGCTTTGTGGTGCATCAAAATTTCAAAGTACTTCTACCCACAAAAAATTGTTTGATGAAATATAGTGATGAGTCGTCGCTGACGACCATGGATTGACATTTTGGCTACTGTACCCATGCTGGTCCTTGGCCTGACTGATAGGGGTCCTGAATGTGCTGGCATACCAATAAACAGTATATGCCACCATGTGGCACAACTGTTTCTAAGATGCGAGTATACATGATGTTGGGAGGCACATGCTGTCATCCATGCCGCTAACCTGATAGGCAATTGATCTGGTACATGCTGCCTGGTAGATACCAATCCAGGCGAGGCATAGAAAGAACCATGCTAACAACTCTACTAAAACTTGGTTTTACGTGTTGTGCAGATTTAATTATTCTCGTGGAACATCCACTTGTTCCTCTGTGTCGACCTTTTAGTGAGGCAATTTCAGATGTTCTTGTGAACCTTCTATTTGATTTATCGGCATCTTTGAATTTGTCAGCTATTTTATTTACTGATTCTTATATTGGTGGTTGAAGTTATTTAAAAGGTTCGTGTAAGATAAATCGTATTTTCATGACACTAGTTTGTCTTTCTTGACTATGTTTTTCTTATTGTTTTACTTTATGTGCTCTAATATATATTTTGAAATTGGCATCCTCACAGGCATCAGAAAAGATTGTACATGTCGAAGAGAAACTATCCAGAGGATGGGGTGGTGAAAATGCTTACCATGTCAGTGGTTACCGCTACTTATTGGTTGACACTGACAAGAGCATATCAAGGACTTCTCCACCAGGGAAAGTGATGACTCTTGCAAAAGTTAGTACCACAGAGACAGTTTTGCCATTTATATGTTCTATACAAGTCTTCCTTACTCATTGACTTTCACATGATTTTCTGCAAAGTTAGGATATAATTCCTGTGTTCCTTTTTCTGATTTAAGTGAAAACAGGAGGGGGTCTTAAAGTGCACACAATGAACAGGGTCATTTTGAGAGACTGCTTCTGAATTTAAAATTAAGTTCAACAACCTTTTGAAGACGGTTATGTACCACACAAGAACTTAGCCTTGTTAGGTGCTTATATGCAGTTTTACTACTGATGACCATTTTAAGCAGTTCATTTAACAATAAACCAAAATTGATAAATGTCAAATGAGATAAAATTATGGCAATCACATAAATGAGCACATTGATCTTTTATTCCATAAGCTATATTATTATATCCTACATATGTCTTTACACAATATGACTGACAATTTTGTTTCTTTTTTTCAAATTTATTTCAACACATTTTTCAATTTCCATTACTAAGCTTAGTTCCTATTAGCACTTCTATTTTTGTAACTGATTTATGCAATGAATTTAATGATTACACCCCTTATTGCTTCCATAGAAGGATACATAACAGGAAATTTCATAGGAAATCTAAAAAGAGTTGTGCATGTAGAATATTTTCATATAAGAATTGCAACTAGAGGTTTGGAAGACAGGATTGACAAATGAGAAGTCGAGAGAGAGAGTATTCAGCGACTTGGAGGACGGCTAACTTTTTTTTTTTTTTGAAGGATGGCTAACTATTGGTGGACAGGTTTCTTCTACCATAAGGTTCTCCATCTTGCTTCACTTTTCATATATTTTCCTTTTACTAAGATTAAATTTTTGTTGTCACCAAAGCAAATACAGAAGAGCAAAGAGGGCAGTTCACCGAGTGCATCTAACAGAACTTCCATGCTATGGCCAGCTGCCAACATAACAGAAGTTACTACCCAAAAAAATAAAAATTTAAATGTAATGCATCAGCAAATTAGACTGCTCACATTTACAATTTCCCTTGCATGG